TCAATATTTATTTCATATCTTATTAATTAATCTTATTTTAATATATTTATATTTATAAATTTATATACTAATAATATTATTAGTAAAATTTTGACAAAAATATTATTATTAATAATAATATATAATACATAAACTTTTTAATTGTAGTAATATAATGTGAGTTATTTTTCCATTAATTGAAGATATGTATGTTATATTATAATAACTTTCATTTATACAATAAAAAAAGTTGTTAATGTTTCATCTTTGTATAAATCATTTGTTTTATATCTGGTTTATAAAAATATTTTATTTTAGTCTATATATAATATTAGTTTTACTAGTTGCATAAACGTTTCTCTTTAATTCTATAGAAATAGATGATAAAAAATGAAAAAAGACAAATATAAATATATATATATATATATAATAAATAAGATAAATTAAAATATTTTTAATTATAACGATTAAAAGATAAAATTTATAAAATTATATGTATCAAAAGCCAATTAACCTTTTTACATTTTTACAGTGTTTTAACCTTTAAAACAAAAAAAACAGAACGTGAATATGATTTTATAAAATTATGAAAAATTCATAAAACTCGAAAAGACTTAAAGTATCGGTAATATGAGTGTTTCTACGACGTTCATAATGGAATGTGAACATTTCCTTGTTGATGATGTTCAATGCCGATGGAAGATTGAATGTAGATGCATGAAAGTACTGTCTAAACTCCTTACCACCGAATCAGCTTGATGGTTCTGGGATGCATGAACATGAACAACTACCCCAATCCCCATGCGTCACGTGGTTGCAACGTCAAGGAGAGACAAAATCTAACAGTCAATCATCTTACCGTTGACCAAAAGTAAAACTCTTTCATGATTGAGTTGTATTTAAGACAAGATCTCTCAACAAAAATAAGATTTTTTTTAAAAAAGAAAAGAAAAAGAATTATACATTACATTAGGACTTAGGAGTTAAAACAGAGAGAAAAAGAAAATGAAAGGGATCCGTAGAGGAAAGGAAATTAAGGTGACGAGGGAGGGGTAAATCTGTTACAGAGAACCAATGACTTCTGTTGTGGACCCTGACAGAAAAAGAAACTACGAGGACACCTATACAAGCAGTTATCACCCAAACTCACGTTCGCAGAATCGCGTTTCAGCGCCAACAATGGCCGAGGAATCCCCCCCACCAAGTAATTCCCCCCCAACAGAAGCCTCTCCAACGCCGCCACCCCCTTTCCGGGAAACACCGTTTTCACTCCCAACCCCGTTGGGATTCGCCCCGTCAACTCATTATTCTCCAACGACAGCGACGAAAGCCTCGGCATTGCCGCCATGAACGACGGCAACCACCCCCGGAGCCTGTTGTTGCTCAGATCAACCGCCACCAGCCCGCTCCTCGACTCCACTCCCTTATACGGCGCTTCCACGTTGGTGAACTCGTTGAACGACAGCGTCAACTGCTGCAACGACGGAAGCTCAAACAATAGGGAGGGAACGGAGCCACTCATTCTGTTGGAGCTTAAATCCACCACCTGCAACCTCGTCAACTTCTCGAAGCTTTTGCGGGTTAAAACCCCGCTCAAGTTATTGTTCCTGATTGAAATCTGAACCAACGAAAAAGGGAGCGACGGGGGAAACTCTCCGCTGACGGCGTTGTCGCTGAGATCGAGGTATTCGAGGGTTCCGAGGGAGGCCAGGTTTGAAAGGCGGGTGTTGAGGTTGTTGGATTGGAGTTCGAGTGTTTTAAGGTTGGCGAAGCCTTGTGGGATTGTTCCTCGTAGGTTGTTGTTGTCGAGGTAAAGCTTTTCCAGGTTGGAGAGTGTGCCGAGGGAAGCGGGGATCTCGCCGGAGAAGGAGTTGGACGACAGGCTGAGTCGGCTCAGGCGAGTTAGGTTTGAGAAGGAATCGGGAATTTGGCCGGAGAAGTAGTTGTGGGAGATATCCAGTGTTTGAAGATAAGGAAGGTTCCACGTGAGGTTGTTGAGGGAACCCGCGTAACCGGCTTGGTCTAGCGCCAGTTCCGTGACTCGGCTCAGCCCTGAAACGACGACGTCGCATCTGAACCCGCACGTGAATTTCTCGCTTAAAAGGTTGTCGCACGGGTCCAACGTGAAGTCCCAGGAACTAACGCACGAGCCTGGGTTCACCGAACCTGGCTCCAAACCTTGCTTCAGCTCCTTCAGAACTTGTACATCTCCTGAATGTGTCTTTGATTCTGAGCCCAATAACAGTAACCCCCAAGTTAAGATCATCGCAAATAGAGGGTAACGCACAGACCCCATTAGCAAAATTCAATCTTGTGAGTGTCTGTCTGTGGGATTGGAAGTTTGGAACACAAATAAGAGGCGTGTATGGGGATGAATAAATCTTGACCGTTGGATTCGGAGTGAGTATGAGAGTTTTGATGGTGATGGAAGTAAAGGTGACTCTTTTTTTTTGTGGAGCGTAGCCTGAAGGCTTCTTCTTCCCCACTCAAAGTAGTCAGAGATCTTTTGGGGTGTGAGTGGCTTCACGGGTGGAACTATCTCAGAGGTTTGTCGGATACACCAACCTTTTTGTGTAGTGTGCTTTTTTGTTGTGTGTAGAAACTAGAAAGAAGAAAGGGATAAACCTTTGTTTGGTGTTCGTAGCAGATTATAGATTATTAGTAACGACTCGTTGGGTATTTATATGTATGAATGTTGGGTTAGGTTTGGTTTTGGACTTTAGATGTACTATTTAATTTTCATAATGTATATAGTATTTGTTGTAGTTCTAGCTGGGCTAGCCGTTATGTATGATGCTCCCGGGTCCCGCTTCTTATCCTACATTTATAAAATGTCCTTGGAAATGTGATGATGTTTAAAATATGGGTACGAAAGGAAAACCAGAAATAGGTAGTTTCCTAATATTATTGTGTCACGAGTGGACTTTAGCAGCTTAATGATATTAGGTAGTCGTGAGATGGAAGAAACTGCGTAAGGTTGGTGAAGATTAGAGAATCAAATGGCAGGGAATGCGATGGCGGTGGTTGCAAAGGGGTCCCAATGCTAGAGCTTAGTTATTTATGTTTTGACATTTTTATCTTAATTAACTAACATTAACAACCTTTAAATTTTCGCAAAGGCTCTCTATCTTTTACAAAAGTTATTTCTTTTGGTGCTTCCAAGCTCCAACCAACTTACCGAACCATTGCCCATTGGGTGTCCCCCAAAGTCATGATTTTGGTAACAGTCATTCATTTCCTCATATAAGCATAATGCTTGCCAGATGAACAACAATCATAAACCCAGGTTACTTTTAACTTCTGTTCTACTCCCACCATAAATCTCAGAATATCATTAGCCAAAGAATTTGTGAAGCAGATTAATAATTCATCTGGCGATTTTAAATAAGATTCAGTTATTTAATTGATCAAAATCAATGAAATTCATTAATTTAGTTAAGGTTAAATATTTCTTAGTCTCTTTAATTTTATAATTATGGATATAATGATTATGGAACACAAAGTGTCATAGTCACGTGCTTGTGTGACGTGAAATTAATGGTACTAGCTTTAAAAATAGATTAGTTTGCATTTATCTTAACCTTTGAAAACGCAATAAATAAATAAATAAAATAAAATGGGGAGTGTAAATTTTTAATAAGGATCTTTACTGTATTCTAAAGAAAATTTTCCATTAAATGAATGGTTTTGTATGTTATTTATTGACTTTTTAATATTATTTTTTATCTCATTCTACTACTTTAAGTGATAAAAATGAGAATTGCAAATAAAATTTATCTTAAATATTAATTATTAGGTTATTTATTTAATTTTTTTATAATAATTAACATTACAATTTTAACAATTGATCAATAAATAAATATTTGATGAGGAGACCAAATTTATAAGTTTAATAAAAATAGGAGATTAAAATTGTATAAATAAAAATAGTGACCTAAATTACAAATTTAATATTATAAAAAGAGTAAAAGTGAAATTTATTTTCACTCTTACTGTATTTCTTTCACCTTGTTCTACTCTAAAGGTTCATTTGTATTGACATCTTCAAGAATTGCACCGGAAATGAGTTTTCTTGTAATTGTGAGACAAATTTACAAAATCTCAACCAATGGATCAAGGTTTGAGAAATGAAATGATGAATTGAATCACTCAACAATCCTTTTTTCTTTGTCCATATTTAACTGTCAATTATTAAACGAATAAGTTAGGATTCCAATTTTAAAGCCCATTTAATAAATTGATCAGATGGGCCCAGTTTGAGGGATAGGCCTAACCTATCTCGGGCCAGGCCTCTCCTTCACTACTTTTTGAACTATATTATTGAAGGGAAGAAGGGGACTGGAGAGCATTTAAATGTTCAGTTTGTTACTTTAAATATTATTATATCTGAAAAAAATATTAGAGTATCTTTGGGATATTTTTTTTTTAAAAAAAAAAAACCATTGAATCAGTAACAGCTGTCTTAGTTACACTTTCTTCTTGATAAGAGATTTTAATTATAATATTTGATTATTTTTCTAAGAAAACAACCTTTTTGATTATAAACAAAATTTTATTATGATTAAGAATTAAGAGTTTTTTCTCTCTTCATTTTATCTCTAAGAATTAAACATTTTAAATATAAAATTAGTAATTAGGAATAGTTTCACACCTCTTTATAATTTTACGGTAAAGAATGGTTAACTATATAATACAAACATAATAACATAAAATCCCTTTTCACTCATCAGATATAAACATAGAGCTTATTTCATATAATTGGTCATAAAATTAATCAATTCTTGAAATAAACTATTTTCATAAACCAATTCAAACATACACATTATTACGTAGGGGTACGTATTGTTCAATTGATTGAGAAAAATGCGTAAATCCTTCTATTATTATGGACTAAAAAAAATACACATAATTTTTCAGCTTTTGCAAAATGGTCATAGAAGATGTCTCACGCTTGAGCGTTCTCACCTCTCATCTTGTGTCTCAGATGTTCAATGCTCCCACTGTGATATAATAGGCTCTAGGTCTAAAATTAAATGGTTTAAAGATTTTATTGGATGAGTTTAGTTTATTTTAAATGTTATATTGTAATTTTTTTTAATTCTCTAAGACGATGACACCTGTAGGATTGTCATCTAATTAGGTTAGTGATTATTGGTTATAAAAAGTAACAATATGATGTAATTGAAGATATGAAGAGTATAAATGGATTTAGTCTTATTTTGCTTTTTATCTCCTTTGTAGAATTAGTTCTTCTAGTATAGTCTATTTTTTAGTGACCTAACATGAGTGCTCTCATCTTCGATTTCATGCCTCCCAAATCACCCAAGGAGGTGGATGATGTCATTCACAACTTTCATGATAAATTTGAGGTCATGCAAAACATATTTCAAAAATCAATAAGGGTTTCAAGACCCACTAAACTTTTATATAACAATCTCTCCAAGGTACTCCTTTTCCTAATCCCATTATGTTCATCACCTGTCTTATACATCTAGGTTTTACCCCATTGTTATCCAATATTTCCTACACCTCATCGCCTATTACACCACCCATTTCTCAGGTACTCCATTGTATGCTACAACTACAACAATAACCCCTTCATTTTCATGAATTCTCATTTCTCACTTTTTAAGATAGATTAATTCATTTTTTTAACTATGTTATTAGTATAAAATATTTATCGACTTTGTTGATAGGTTTCGTCAATGACTAATTTTTATGGAGGGATTTAATTGATTATCTTTAATTAAATCTTCCTTTTCTAATTATATTTTTTATACACAAAATTTAAATTCAAGACCTTATTTAAGGGAATCTATACTTAAACCAAATGACTTATTCATAAATTGATTAATCCATTTTATTTTCAAATAATAGGCTTAAAAACTTAATTCATCTGGTTCAAGGGTGGGTTGTGAACAAAAATCACTATTTTTATCTTTTCCTTAAGTTTACTTCTTGGTTATTGGAACAAATTAGAATTTGAATAATAAACATAAATCAGTCGATCGATTATATATTGAATAATTAAAACTAAAAGATAGAGATATACACGATTTTTTTAAAGAAATTGTATGACCATTAACTAACGTTTAAATTTTAGTATCTATATATAATTGTTACGCTCAAATTCATAACTTTTATTTTTTCCAACGATCAAAAGCTCTTACTAAGATAGACATAAACACATAAAATCAATTGACAACTAATAACAAATTATTGTATTTACATGAGTAACTTCTTGTAAAATATAAAACAAATTGTATTTATATTAGTAACTTTTTTTAAAATATATAATTAAACAATTCAATCATTGAATAATTTGGAATTATCTCTACGATCTTTTATATCAAACTTCACTTAAATTAAACATTTGTTTATATTTTACTTAAACAACATATTAATCAAAATATAGTACGAAGGAGCATTTAATAAGTATTTGATTTGCATAAACTTTTATAAAAGAACATTTACTTTATAAAAACTTTCAATTAAATTATTGTATTGAATAATTTCATTCTACAGAAGGACTTGAAGTGATGTGAATAAGAACATCTAAATTAATAATTAGATTATAAAAATTAAACCAAAGTGAAAAAGTGGTCAGACATCATTATGTTTTAGTAAACCTTGATTTTGTTTTATGTAATGAGGTTAGGTAAACTAGGTTTATCCGAGTAATATGATTGTACTTGAGCAAATCAGCAGTTAATATAACATAGTCGTCACTCACTCAATGAAAACTTGTAACAAATAAAATACAGTCTGTGTTTTTGAGAACACAGTCTTGGCAAACACTATATATAAGCTTAGCCACTAGGTAGCTAAGGTAGAGAAGTTTGGGTTTAACAGGTCCAAATGGAATAGTAAGAGAAAGCATAAATAGCAAGGGATAGGTAGTTAAGTAATTTACATTGATAATTAATAGTTGCAGTTTAGTGAACTCAAGCAAGGCGCAGATCGTGAGTTTTGAAGGGTTGTTGTTGTTGTGGAAGTGCTTCTGCATGGTGGGGAAGATTCAGATGAGTATGGTGCTGACAGAATGCATACAAGGTGGAGGCGCCGTTGGCCAGTGCAACTGCTGATTCCTCGTCTCCTTCATCGTGCAAAATAAATTGTGGATGGATCACACACTTTTCCTTCTTAATTTTTCATTCACAAACATAAAACCATATCATTTCCTTTCCTTTCCTCCTCTCTATTCTTTTACAATCAAAACAACATATACTTTCCTATCTTTTTAACTCAACTTACAAGTTCAAGCAGGAGATTCCCATTCATTTGCTCCAAGCTTTTAACCTGTATAATATTCACAGCAAAAGCACTAGTTACTGTTAGTAATCATACTACTTAAGTTCAGTGATTCATTCATCTTACTATAATTGCTCACCTTTTTCTTACAGGTATCAGTCCGAGTTTTGATCACGTGGAACTGTCAACACACAAAAATTAACATATCAGTTTATAGCCTAAATCAGCAATATATCTCAGTTAAAAGTTTATTTTATAATTTCTTAATTGCCTTTTTTCTCGAAAATAGTGCTAGATAAACTCAAATGGAAGGGGGATTTAATACTTCTTTATGGTTCTTGTAAAAGGATGAAGAAATGGGAAACTGTAGACTTGAACGAATTAAAACCATCAATCCTAAAATTTTACTTTGACCCACTATATAAGGTGTGCTCTTTTGTTTTTTTGTAAGGAGGATGATGTATATCTTGACACATTCTTCACAAGTATATATGGTCCTGTACATACTCTTGTCATACTTGTGTTTCTTCTGATTTCAATTATAGAGGTCATCTTAATCTAGTGGAGGGGTAAAGTTTGAAACTGTTGTGAATGTATGTTTGGATTCATAGAAAAATGCAATAGTTTTTAAAGAGGAAAGTTTTACTTAATTAATTAGATTATTGGTCCTTATTAAGGCTAGATCATGATTTTGACTGTCTTCAAACTAGAAGAATCTTTCCATTTTTACAGTGTTGTTTTAATCCTTTACGCTTACTGTTTACAGAGATGTCTTTGGAGTTGTTGTAAGAATTGAAGTGTACTCTAATATTCTCCTTTAAAAGAAAAAAATGAAATTTGTTTTGCTGATAAATAAAAACTATTTAACTGAAGCGATTGTAAAAAAAAAAAATTAAGTTACCTTTCTTTCGCGTATTTTGCCTATGGAAGCAACCATATCCTCTTCAAGAGTTCGCAGTTGCTGGAAGCTCAGGTCGTCCAAATCCAAACCCTCACCAATCCTATGCCTTTTCAATTCACAACTCCACCAATGAGCTTTTCTTCAACCGCACCAAAAACAGTGAACACGTGTAGCAAAAATATTAACAGTTTTCCATATTTTGTTACCTGATCTGTCTCCTCAGTTTGTTGTTAATATCTTTCAGCTTCTTCAAGTTTTCAAGCATTTTCTGAAAGAAATTAACAAGACACATAACAAAAGCAGAAAAAGAAGAAAAAAAAAAGATATTTTAACAATAAGTAACAACAAAGCAAAACACAAAAAATATGAGTGGTTGATAAACTTAACCTCATAGTGAGAGCGCCACAGATCGATATCCCCCAAAGTCTTCTGATACTGATCAATGATCTTTTTTGTCCTGGTTCACAAGTCACAAGTGACAACAAATGGAATAAAAAGAAGAAGAAAAATGATATATATTGGATAGAAGAAGAGAGTATAGGATACTTACGTAAGGCCAGGGCTAATGTATTCATGCATCTTGTTGTTTTTGGAGAACATGATGAGTGAAACCTTAGCATCACAGAGAACACTGAGTTCATGAGCTTTCTTGAAGATACCATTCCTTCGCTTGGAGTAGGTGACTTGCCTGTTGGTGGGGTTCTCAATCAACTTTATCTCAATTTTTCCACGACCCATCTGGAGATCGATCAGAATTGACAACTAACCTAGCTACTACAACTGCTTCTGGTTTGGATCTTCTTTGCTAAGCACTGATATGATATTAATAGAGTTGAGAGGAAAGGCAAAGTGATACACAGAAAAGAGAAAAAGGTGGAGAGCAGTGAAGAGGGTTTCCAAAATAGGAAGGTGAAGCTGCCAAAGAAAAAGTAGCCTTGGACTGTAACTGCGAATAAATTCTAAATTCGTGTAAGTGTGTCAAAACTCAAAAGCACTATTCGACAGCTGGTGCCCTTCAATTAATACCCACCCACCCTCTTCATACTCAATTTATTCCACAACTTCAAACTCTTTTTTTATGTCTTAAACTTCACCCTCCGGGGAATCATATGCTTCAGATCCTACTTAATTCAAATTAATCATGTTGCTAAGGTTGCAATCTCAGCTTCATGGCTGTTTCCCATGTTTCTTTGTTAGTCGTTTCCGTCCAAGAAACCTAGCTACTATAGCTTCTTGCGTGCTTTATGGGAGTATATATCAGTCATCATGACTGATGAGTGCACTTTAACTTTGATTATTACTCCAAACATTACATCACCAAACATCAACCGCATGTTTATTCCATCAATAAAATACCCTAATCTTATTTCTCTTAACATTATACATACATGCTTTAGAATTTTTTTTATAATTCTTTAAGAATATGTATACTCTTTTTTTTAAAGAAAATACCTATATTTAATTGACACATTATTTAATGTCATTTATTTTATCAATTTTATAACTATTTTTTTATTAATAAGTTTTTAATTTTATTTTCTTTTTCTTTTTCTATTCAAATATTATTTTTTAATCTGTAAAAATTAAATAATTCTTTCCACAACCGATTTTTTAAAATTAATATATATTTTTTTATTTTAAAAATATTTATTAAATAAAAATTTCTAAAATTATTTAAATTCTTAAATTTTAATTGAACCAAGATAAGATAACTAATGAGCATAACTTGGTCACCCACCGATTGTACTTTCTACTCCAACTTTTGGTCTTTGGGTTTATTCTATATCAATATGGGAATAGATGATGGAACAAATTGGACCAAATTAGGCAAATTAAGGTTTAAGAGAAAGATAAGATAAGAGTTTGAATTAGCAAAAGCATGAGTGGAGTGGAGTGGAGTGGAGTGGCCCGCGATGGATTAATATGTTGTTATACATGACGTTGAGAGCAAAGAGAAAGAAGAGGTACATTGTGTATCAGCATGAGCATGTGGTGTGATGATAGTCATAGGTATAGGTAACTTAGCTTGCTACTAGTTACAAATTGAATCCATCATCAACATCGAGGCATGGCAATGTGATAGAGAAAGTTCGAAGATATTAACGTTGTTGCCTTCCATATGACCTGTCCCATCTTTCTCTAACCCTTCCTGCTTTTCACTTCAATCACATGCTACCTCATCCGTCTAAGTTAATTATCATTTACCACTGCTTCTCATCACACTCAAATCTCATAATTTTATGTGACTCATAAGGTATACAATTTGATAAATATATGTCAGTAGCATTACTCGATAATCAATCAACAGAGTAAACCTTGCTAAGGCACTTGTGCGTCATATATATGTGTCACATGTTATATGGGTATTAGCATGCCACGCATAGGTATTTTTCTTAAATAAAATTAATCTCATTTAGTGCAAGAATTAAAGTGATCGACTATTATTATAGTTTTATGGATTCTTTTTGAATTTGTTAACTTCACGAAAAGTGAATGACAATTTGATGAACTAGATTGATTATTTAATCTTTTTTTTTCTAATGTTTTGTTTGACATACAAGAGAAAGTGAAAAAACAAGTAAAAAAAAATATTTATTTAGTTATTTGATAGAAGAGGGAAAAAAATGAGAGAAAAGAAATAATTAAGTATATAAATAGAAAAAACATAACAACTCTTATAAATAAATAAAAATTAATAAGTTTTAAGTTAGGTATAATAAGTGAATTTTATTTTGGTCTATGTATTTTTTTCATTCTTCTAAAATTTGAAATCAATATTTTTTATCATATAAAATGATTAAATTTTGATTTGATTCTTATAAAATATATTTTTAAAGCTTTTATCTTCTAAAACTCAAAGTATTTATTTTTGTCTCATAACAATCATTCTAAAGTGGATAAATAATACTTTTTAAGAATCTATTAAAAAAAATCTCACAAATATACATATATCATAGGTAATTGTGGGTGTTATTTAGATGATCACTTAACTGACTAACATAAAATAGTAATTTCAAATTTTAAAGAGTAAAAATAATGTTTTTTTTACAAATATCAAAATCAAAATTTATACATATTATAATGACTTAAATCATAATTGATTATGTAATATATATATATATATATATATATATATATATAAAATTCTTTTTGTATATGTTATAATTATAAAGGATATAATAGGGATTTTATCTTTCACTCCTAATTTTTTAAACGTAGTTTTTTCTCTAAATATTTGAAAGAACCAATTTCATCGTGATACCTATATATCATATTTTTTTTCTTTCTCTTATTTTCATGTGTACTTAAGATATGTTTAATGAAGAGAAAAGAAATAGAAAGAGATTAACACTTAGTTTGGTGCAAAAGAATCGTGGGCAATGGGTAAAGAGGGGAGGGGGTGACCCTTGAAGTGCATGGAAGAGAGTAGAAGATAGTGGATTTTTTATGTTTGGTGCAAATGAATAGAAGAGAAGAGAAAGTAAGAAATGAGTCCCATAGTGTTTTTAATACTTGCTGAATTGAATGGATTAGAAGGAAAATATGAAGATTTTACAAGAGTATAATTAAGTTGTAACTTACAATGCTTTGTGATGTGTATTATGAATAATCATAATCAATTATAAAATTCAAATTTTTTACTTCCAATGACTATGTGATGGGAAATTATTATCGATTATGACACATATATAATCAATTATAGAAGTCAAATATTTGAATTATAAACTTATTTGTAAAGGGATATATTTGTAAATTAATTTATAATATTATTTTAAATTTTTATTTAATTCAATATAAATCAATAGAAAATTAATCTTTTTTTTATATTTTCTTCTGGTTTTTTCCCTATCAAATAACGTTAACTTCTATTTTATTTCTTCCTTACTTATCTTTTTTTTTTTCCATCTTATTCTCTTCCCTTTCTTCCACTTATATCTTTACTAGCAAACACAATGAAAGTATATAGAAAAGAAATGAAAAAATATAAATAATCTTATAAAGTGAAAATAAAAGTTGTTTGATTAATCCCGTTACCAACGAACAAACTAGCATTAACATTGTGTTTGGTATAAGAGAAATAACAAAGAAATAAAGAGTAGAAATATGAAATAGGTTAAAAACAAAAATGGAAGGTTGTTTTGATGATGCAAAATTTGTGAGAAAAAAATAAAATGTTGTGGACACGCCTTTTTATTTATTCGCAAATCAATACGAAAATAAACTTAAAAATTATTTGTGTTTAAATAAATTTTTTACACAATTAAATAACACGTTATATTACTCATGCGGAATGTTTTTTATTTATTCGAATAAAATCAATTTATTTGATTACGTTTTCGAAATCATTCGAATAGAAATAGTTTCATTCGAACATTTATATAATTTTTATTTAAATAATTAAAATAAAAAATTAATTAATGAAAAAATTATTTTAAAATTATTTTTCATTTTATTTATTTATTATCTCTTATATTTTTATATTTTCGCATATTTTTTTATCTTATTAAATATACATAATATTATTTTTCATCTCTTTTTTTCAATTCAACAATCAAATTTTTATTTTTATTTTTATTTTTATTTATCTTGACTTATATATATAATATAATTTTTTTATATTTTTTATTTCTTACTTATTAGACGAATTCCTTGTTGTAAAAATGTTTATTTGTGGATGCACAGAGGCATACACATGAGGTAGGCGTAGGTCTGCTGGATTTGACGTTCAGTCTAAATTCTGACCTTGTCAATGGACCTCGATTGGACAAGAGACCCAACCCAACCCTGCCTTTTCTTTTCACCTTTTTTTTAATGGAAAATAATAAACTTGCACAGCATTTTAGTGGGGTAAAACTGTAAAAGGAAGAGCGACACGTAAAAAATATACAAAAAAAATAAATGATAAAATTGGTAAAAACATTTGACATTGGACTGGCACGAAATAACCCAAAATATAAGATTAAGGGATGATTATATTCGTACAGCCCCATTTTCTAACGGAGTTGGATTGATGAAAAATAAGAAATAAAAAAAAGAAAAAATATAAAGATTGAAAGTGATAGATAGATGTAACAGATGATGGGATTAAACTGAAGACATAATAAGGGTGAATGTGGGATGAGAATAAGTGTATATAGTATTTTTTTTCCAAATAAAAATTGAACTGTTTCTCAAAACATAAATCGGTTAAAAATTTCTTTCAATCAGACCAAATTAATGTAACACATCGGGTCATCAACACATCGTACGTAAAATATACTAAGTAACATTCCTCCTACATATTTTAAAAGTAGATGGACCACCTGTGCAATATAAATGTGTATAGCAAGTATTTATGCTTACACATGAGATTGATATAATATAATTATATATCGAATACGGTATCGGATTCTTTATTCTTTTCACTTATTTTTTTTGGTACATACTGTTTTCGATTGTAATCTGATGCTACGTGCTTTATGACAATTTTAATTCCCACAATATGACAAACATTACGTCAAACAAGGCCGACTTTTAAGTAAATCCCATTATAATTTGTCTTCATAATGCACATTTATAATTAATTTTGATCTACTATAGTACAATTTTAATTTCCACATGACAAATATTTCATCAAACAAGGCCGACTAGTAAATCCCAGGATAATTTGTCTTGATGCATATTTATAACTAATTTTGATCTATAGTATTACCACGATAACAACTACAACTAAGTTCAACTTCCAACTTGGATAAGGATGCTTTACAATTTAATTATCTGTCTTCATAATGCACACATAATTATTTTTTATCTACTCTAGTATCAACACGATAACAACTAAAACTAAGTTTAACTTCCTACTTGAACAAAGATAATCTACAAATTAATTTTCAACTGTTATATAAACGAAACTTTTTTTAATACTATTCATTACAAAAAAAAAAAAAAAGTACCTTCACAATTTCGATCTTCTACAGGAAATTTTTTTTCTGACAAATACTCTTATATCCTTTTGATTACTAGAAATAAAAAAGTATAAAACAAAAATCATTTAAAGCCTAAACGTTTAATAATAGCTACATTAAGATGATTATTTGGAAGATATAGAATTGTTCACATGTAGTTTTCACAAACAATTGCCATGTTTAGAAGAATAATTTTCTCTCCCCCCTCAATTTTGGGCAAGGAGAAGGGTTAAGCACCCCAAAGTCCAAACCAGAAACTTTTCTACTCAAGAAAATATGAGGCGCTGGCAGAGGAAAACCAGAAGTAAAGTCGAAGCTTTATAGTGTTCCTAACTCGATGCATCGGCAAGTTATGATTGACTACATGGAAAGCCTACTACAGTATCCCGTATTTTCACGACCAAAGATATAAATGACAGGACTTCTTTTATATATAAATACTGAAACTCGGAATATTGGCAATGCAATGCATATAGTCAATTCTGAGATATAAGTATATAACGGGCAATTCTTGAAAGTATTAAACACAAGTTATCAATACGGGGGTTAATCAGACCATCTATATCCACATCCAAATACCTGAGACTGAGATTAACCTCAATGTTTTGAGTTTGTTTGCTCCATAAGTTGCCTGAGTTGAGACACATAGTTTCCCCTTCCTTTACAAATACCAGGCAATGACAATTTACAGCAGAGTTATTATCCATTTAATTTAAAGGGATCCTGGTTTCTCAAAAAGCATTTTCCCATTTCTTCATTTTGCTTTCAAAAGGATAATCCTCTACTCTACCTTTGTGGACTTATTAGAGAAACTAGTTATTATACTTTGTCATCATGGAACCACCACCTAGTCTCCTTAGGCGATCTTCCATTTCTGCAGTTCTTTACATAGCGGTCATTATCTTCAGGGCGTTGCTGCCAAAGAAATGACGTCAAGAGTTAAGTCAAAATGACTCCCATTTAATGATGGACCAATGAACTTTACTAAATTCACCAGTAGAATCTTAAATAATAACCAACCAACCATTTATCAAATCAATGTTTGTTAAAACCTTGGTTAAAAATATGGCATGTCCTATATGTCCAGTAATCATATCGCAGCACAAATGGAAGAATTAGGAAAAATATAAGATTCACAGTAAATAAATTCACACCTTTACAGTTGAGCTTGAAAGCATTGAGAGAATACTGATGCAGATAGAACTAACTGTCATCGCAGGGGACCATGAATCATACAATATATCTGCATATTTCCAAAGCATATAAAATGTAAGCTTACCATAAAAAAGCAGCACCAAGTCAATCATGTTTATCTAAATTGAAAAGGAAAAAATGGCTAACTATAAAGAATTGATAAACTAAAATAGATGGGGTTTCATAGCTGATACTCCAATTTTAAAACTGAATATGCAAATAAGAATAAAACTATTGATTATGTCAATGTACAACTCCATACACAATAAATTTTACCAGAAGAAAAAGGTTATCCATTTTAAGTAATTTCAACTGACAAGCGGAAGAAAATAAAAGTTAATGATTCTTAATTCCTCCCTAACTCTTAATTACCCCCCCCCCCAAATGAATGATAGAGATAGAAGTAAAAGTGAGTAAATTAAAAGGAATAGGCAGGTAAAAAGATGAAGCATATAAAAATAAAGATAAAAGAATAACAGATCAGTAAGAGATGATTAAGACTTGAGAGAATTTTTTTTGGCAAGTTACAGGGATAGTATGCATGTGAAATGCATATCCAAATATCAGAAGAGAAAAGGTATTGAAAATTTCAAATAGACAGAGGGCAGGGAGAGTGAGAGTCTCACTCTCCATCAAACTATAATATAGGAGTTAGATATATAGACTGGCATGAATGAATAAAGGAGAAAATAATGCATACTTAATTTCAATCATGCTCATTCTCCATTGCTACCCCATCTTCAAATGCTTATTTTTAATAACAAGAAGAGGGGGGCTTACAGAAATTTCTTAATATAACTGACAACCACCAGCCGAATCAGCAAAAGAAAGAAAGAGACAAAAAAGAGCATTTACCTAACCAGAGTCATGTACAATATCTCTTGGTCAAATATCGTACAATTCATTTAGAAAGTCAGACCATTTTGTAGTACAAACTCCTATTCGATTCATCCCACAGAAAAGTAGGGGGAGAAAAGAAAACAAAAAAACCAGCTCAAACCAAAATTTAGACCCTTGGGAGGCAGAGACATCTCCGGATGAATATGAAACATTGAAATGTGATTGAAGTTGTCAAATCACGAATCGTATCAAGAATTATTTGTTCAATTTTAGAAACACGAGTCGTAATGTATATAAAATTCTAAATAACACATTCATTGAGAAAGTTAAATATCATGATTCAACAACTAAAACATCAAGGAAATACTCAAGTCTAAAATAGTAGATAAATTTCACATATCCCCAAGGTAAAAGTAAATTCCAAATTACCATAATGTCGTCATAAGCCAAGTTATACGTAAATTCATAAGTCATAATTCTTTACATGCTCCTATTAAATAATACTTCACCGTAAGAGCAATCTATTGTCAAGAACAAGACAATGTTATGAGGTAACATCCTTCTTCCCATTAGCCTTAGGAGCCACAAAATGTTGCTGCTTGAAGTTTATATTTCAAAAGAACAAAAACAGATAAAAAAAATGCCGCAAAATAAGGTGCATATAGAATGCGCAGGTAACTGTATGATGCTTCTATTTCAGAAGAATGAAAATGGAGCAATGGAACAACCAAATAAGGAGCATGGAGCAAGTGAATGAGTGTATATGAAACCCATATTTCAAAAGAATGAAAAACAGAGAAATGGAATAATTGAATAGAAATATAGAATGGGTTTAATAGCATTTCTTCAATTTCGTGTCATTTGAAAATTTGAGCTTCTCAGAATTTTCAATTTCTCTTGTGAAAATTGGAACAAAAAAAAAACAAAATTAGTGAATGGGTTGTTTCATGCCTATGATATAAAATCACATAAATTCCAGGATGCATGAGACAATTCAGAGACATAATGATTAGAAGAAAAGTGAGTCCGCAGAAATCGACATGAGAAAAGGCAATACAAAGAGAGACGACATAAGAAAAGGGTGTAGCAGAAGAAAATCCAGAGACAGAGAGGACATACCTAAACAAATATGTCCGTTACTGTATATATGGGGATGCAGGGGGGCGGGATGCAAGAATATGACCTGAAAGAGGAAAAGTGCATGAGTGAAAAGAAGCAGTGGGTGGAAATGAAGGGTTAATTAGGGGAAAAGAAAAAGAACCTGAGGAGCTTCCATTGGGTAATTCTCGGGAAAGTCGACCTGAAGCTGGTAGGTCTCGTTAGCGTAGAGTGTGCCGGGAGCTCCAGTGACTTCAACGACCCACCTTAGAGAGAGAGAGAGAGAGAGAAAGGGGAAATGAATGAAAAGGAGGAAGAAGGGGAAAGGAGAATCTGAGGGTGAATTAGGAGAATCAGATACCTCTGGAGATTGTCGGTGACTTTGTGCTTGAAACCAGTTGGGGGATTCACCTGCCACTCCACCAGCTCTTTCTGGAGCCTATTGCAGGCAATCTTACTCAGATTCTGAAGAGAGGGAGGATCGGAATTCAACCTAATATGCACAAACAGAGAAGAAATTGAAGGGGATAGTGAGTTAGGTTAGGGCTAACCTTGCGAGCGGCACCAGAGGAACTAGTCATGATTCTTGCGCAATGGACGAGAGGAGAGGAACAATTCGCAATTTACAAACCAAAACAAAGAGAGAGAGAGAGAGTGTGTGTGTGGGTGCATTAAATAGTGAAATAGAAAATGAAGAGGCCTTTGACGAAATGTGGGTACCGCCACACTACGCTTTTTTTTTTTCCTTCCCATAAGTTTACTTTTTAACATTATTACTATTACTATTATAAAAAGTTATCACAACTTCATTTCTAAGTTATATGTTAAAACTTTTACAAATATTTTAATAATAACTTTTATAATTATTACATTATTTAATAATTTTATATTAGATATAAATTTTGTTAATCTAAATCATTTTACATATTTATGTCAAATTTTATTAAAATTAACAATTTAACAATAATTAAATTATTTATATTTTTATATATCTTAAATTGTATATTATGTAAATTTTGATTAATATAAATGAAGTATCAAATTATTTTAAATTAGTATAAATTTTTGTATATATAATTTGAAAATGAAAAATATTAAATTTAACGAAAAATTTTAAAGTAATCTTTTAATTAAAAATTAGTAAACATTATAATAATTATTAAAAATTACATTAATATCATTTAATTTCTCCTTAATAATATATTTTAAATTTTCATATCAAAACTATTATAAATATATATAAGATAATACACTGAATATAAAATTTGTATATTAATTTATTATTATTATATTGCATAAAATAATATATTTATTTAATAAAAAAATATTCTATTTTATCATAATAATTTTTCTATCATGATCAAACTACTAAACATGTTTTAAAATGATCATGAAAAAAATAATTAAAATTTTTATCTCTCAACAAAAGTCTTTTTTTTTTGTTAAATTTGACTAGATAATTAAACTATTATTGATATACTTAAAAATTTTAACTATCTATTTATTATGTTAAATTTTGCATTTTATTATATATACTTTTGATATTTTAAGTTTTTTTTTTCCGTCAAATTCATATATACTTATGATATTTTAAGTTTTTTTTTTTTCTCTGGAGTATCCAGGGCCGATAACAGTGGTTGTTGAAGGCACCTCAAAGGGTGAGATAGCTGACCTCAAAATTTAACGCGACTGCATACAGGATTCAAACCCCTAACCTTGCTTAAGCGTGGATCAACTCCTACCGTTGAACCACATGTTTGGAGTTTTTATATTTTAAGTTTATATGTTAGAGTTCAATTTTTATATTTTGTTAGTGTAAAAGTTATTATTATTAATTAATTAAAAATTATTATTAATAAAGTCAACAATCCCGTATTATATATAACAATATCATATTTATATGTTAATTTATAATTATTCATCAAATCCTATATTATTCAACAATTTTATTTAAGATTTATTTCTTTATTATATATAGGATCTGTTTAGATAAAAAAAATTTATAAATGTTTTTATTAAAAAAAATAAAAGAAGCTATTCTTAAGCTAAAATTTATGTATAAGTTAATTAGTTTGTAAAAAAAATTCATATTAATTCCTTCAAAAAAAACTTATTTTTAATTCATGTATAAGTTCATTTCAAATAAAAAAAAACTTTATAAACTAATTATAACTTATAAAAAAAAGTTATTTCATTTTTTTTCCTTTTTCTTAAAATGTTTATATAGAGATATAAAAAAAAAACGTATACAAAAATAGGGAAAGTCAAAGGTGCATTATAAAATTAGTTTCCTTATATTACTGTCTTGTACGAATTATCCACATGTCTTGTACACCGTAAGTTATGTATTATTTTTAGGGAATTGCTACGGTACCCTCAAAGATGGAAGGATTTCAATACATTTTTCTATGTAAATTCATAATTTTTTTTTAAAAAATTTATTTAATTATAAAATAAATAATCTAAATTATACTATAAAATAAAAAGTAAGATAAAATTATAAAGATTAAAATTATAAGTTTTCAATAATATTATAAAATATTAAAGAAAAAGAAAAAATTAATAAATAGTAGAAATAAAAAGTTATTAAAATTACAATATAGAAATTCAAAAATTTAAGACAAAAAGACAAAAAATATACTTAAAAAATTATTAAAATTAAAATATAAAAATTCAAAAATTTTAAGTGAAAAGATAAAAATATACTTAAAAAATTATTAAAATTAAACTATTTAAATATATAATAATATTATTACAAATAAATTAGAATATATAAAATAAAAATAAAATGACTAAATAATTTAAAAATTGAAAGGATAAAATATTATAAATATTATTTAAATAAATTACTAAAATATAAAATATAAAAAACTGTACCGGTACCCTCTCAAATAAGATGGGTACCATAGAATTTCTCTTATTTTTAATATAAATCTTTCTCTCTTTCTTTTCCCTTCCACAAAAGATATTCCAAATTGTCTTTACAAGAGACCTTCCCGAATACTATAATCCCTTAAAATAATAAAATGTATACTAAACATTTTACTTTCCTCTAACCGAAGATTTCGATTTCTTGTTTGAAAAGTCGACAAAAAAAAGTTCTAAAAGGAAACACCAAAAAGGATTTTAGTCTCGTGCATTGTATACAATCATAATAGAGAAAGAAACATACAAAAATAAAATAAAAATGGCATGATGGGTCATAACTTATGACACTCATTTCTCGTGTTTTTTATCCCCTCTTTTCAACACCATTAAGTTTATCATCACATAGAGCTATATTTTATATTTATGTCTGTCCATAAAGATCTTGAATCGACTAATAATTTTATGATGATCTTTGATCTACTAATAATTTCTGTAAGCAAATACTTATCGCAAGCTGAAGACAGAGGCACTTCATTACTCTATATATATCTCAGGCACGCGGAAAGAGCAACACCAATCAATCATTATTGCAGGTTGAACCTTTCTTAACAAGCTAGTAGTAATTAAGACTCAACACTCTAGTTAACTTATCCCTATGTACACGTGTTTTGCGGATCCAAATTAATAAGCGATGAATTAAAAATGGAACGGAACCATATAAGATTATAAGCAAAGTGGTGATACACTAATCATGATCTCTATTTCTGATTGTAATCAACGATATAGTGTGGTTTAGTAGTTGGTTATGCATGAAGGGTGGTGCTATAAAAGTTAATTATACCAGTTTATATGCATATATGACTGTACATAAACCGTTAAAACAATTCTTCGTCCTTCATACGTGTGATAAGTTTAGGGTGTGTATGGTTTCACTTTACGTTAGATCAATCATAACTAAAACGTAATTTTATGTAAATATTTATGTCTGTTTTCATGTTAAAGAAATGTTTCTAAGTCCATAATTAATTGAGTTAAGCAATTTTAAGTAGTTTTTATATTAAAAAATTATTCTAACTTCTGCTATCAATATATTTTTAGAATAAAAACATTATGTACCCTTGCCGACCTGACCGATCAATGTCTCTAGCGTCACTAACGCTCGAGCCAAGAGGGTTGTGTACCCTTCAGATCTCCAATTTGCCGACCTGACCGATCAATGTCTCTGCCTTGATAACGCGTAAGCCAGAAGGGTTTGTGTACCCTCCTAGTCTCTAATTTTCTGAGCAGTCCGAACAGAATATATCTTCTTGATCCCCATCCGACTGAACACCCTGGACTTTAGGCTAGTCATAGGTGTATTGATGAGAGAGTTCCGGTAAAATTAATCAATGTTATGATTTCCGTGATTATTGCGTAAATTTGATTACGATCATAAATACGGTTCATAGGCTCATTACAGAGGGGGATCCGCACGCATTTAAGGGAATGAGGATCGATGATCCGGATCACGTGTATGTGACCCATATAAATAAGGAGAAAAGGAACTGGTGAAAGGTAGGTTATTCTCATTCTTGAATGTTATAGGTCAGGACGGCGGCTAGATTTACATCACTAAGGGTTCTTCGGCTACTATCCCTTTATTGGAACACATTTAAACATAAATCATATCACTTCAAAATTAATTTTAATCACGATCAATTTTGCTAAGTCTCGTTCAATAACACACTTAAAATTGAAAGACTAAACAAAACGTTGAAGTTTTGTGGAACTGCATCCTCAACCTCAAGGACACGCATCTACTAAATTTCTACAAACAATATATATGTTACTATCTTCTCGGAAAGAACGATGGGGATCCAGAATGTCATATAGTCAACCACAAAAACGTGTAGAAGAAAACATTTGAGTCACTCTCAGATTAAGACTCTCGTTCTTAATTAACCCTCGACTGAATATTGTTAGCTCTGAAAGAAATATAGAAACTAACTCCCAAATGTTTTTAAAATGTGATAATTGCTAATAAATTAATTAAAAACAAGATTGCATAAATCATTGAGTAATGAAACTCGTCCATCATTAGGGCCGGGTGGATTGAGATGGAAAAAAAATTAGAAAGAAAAAGTAATAAACGTAATAAGTAATGTGACGCGAAAAGAAAAACTAGATTGGAAAAATGTTTAATAAATATTTTGGTTGTCATTTGTACTATATAGTATATATTCTTAAATTGATTTCTATTCTTAAAAAAATTATTAATCAATTCCTTATTGTTAATCATTTTTAATAGTCGTATGTTGATCATTATGTCCTTACATATTTACAATAGTTTGATCCTTAATATGACCAAAAAAAAAACACTACACCCACAAATACTTTATGATAAAATTCGTTTTGGATAATATAATAGGGAGCTTAATTAGATACTTGTAAGCAATAAATGAGTTTATTTTCTTCTGGTTTGTAAATGGGACAAGATTGGTATGGTATACCTACATGTACATTCCATCATGTAATATTACTATTCCTATCCTTAAATTATTGTTTATTTTTTTCACTCGTGTTAAGTTAAGTGAGAGTTCATATTTTCTTGGTTATAATTGTTTATCTTTACTCTTTTTTTTTTTTTTTTATCAACAAATAAGTAGTATTAATAGTAGGTCCTATAGGTGTACCCAACACCATATATACATAATAGATGCAAGTTTTGGATATTAGTTATATAACTCAGTTATAGAAAAGCAATTTAAAAAGTAAAGACTAGACACATTTATATAAACTAATTTAATCATATTATCAATAAATATAAGTTTTTTTCATACTT